TCCCCACCCCTCTAGGTGGTCACAAAGCACCGAGCTGATCTCCCTGTGCTATGCAGCTGCTTCCCACTAGCTATCTGTTTTTACATTTGCTAGTGTATATATGTCAATGTTACTCTCTCACTTCATCCCAGCTTACCCTTCCCCCTCTCCATGTCCTCAAGTCCATACCCTACGTCTGCATCTCTATTCCCGTCTTCTTGCCCCTAGGTTCATCAGAACCTTTTTTTTTTTTAGACTCCATATATATGTGTTAGCATGCTGTATTTTTCTGACTTACTTCACTCTGTATGACAGACTCTAGGTCCATCCAACTCACTACAAATAACTCAATATCATTTCTTTTTATGGCTGAGTAATATTCCATTGTATATATGTGCCACATCTTCTTTATCCATTCATCTGTCAATGGACACTTAGGTTGCTCCCATGTCCTGGCTATTGTAAACAGTGCTGCAATGAACATTGTGGTACATGTCTCTTTTTGAACTATGGTTTTCTCACGGTATATGTCCAGTAGTGGGATTGCTGGGTCATATGGTAATTCTATTTTTAGTTTTTTAAGGAACCTCCATACTGTTCTCCATAGTGGCTGTATCAATTTACACTCCCACCAATAGTGAAAGAGGGTTCCCTTTCCTCCACACCCTCTCCAGCATTTATTGTTTGTAGTTTTCTTGATGATGGCCATTCTGACTGGTGGGAGGTAATACCTCATTGTGGTTTTGACTTGCATTTCTCTAATGATTAGTGATGTATCAACACAATTTTAAAAACAGAGAAACTAAGGCTTGACAAGGTTAGATATATTACCTACAGTCACAGGATTCCAAGTAAAAGAACCAAGATTTAATGCCAGATGAGTCTAAGGTCTCCAACCACACAATGTATGTTGAGGGATCATTTAGGTGTCAAGATTTTATTATATCTTTTTATTCATTCAACAAATATTTATTGAGTGTCTAAGCTGACACAAACTGTGATAGTCCCCAAGGACACAATGGTAAACTTGCCATCTAGAGGAATATTTGTGCCATTGAGTCACCGAAAACTAAGAAAATAAGAAAACTTTGAAATAGACTGCGATTTAGAAGTCCATCAGCAGCAACCACTGCTCTGAATGCCTTCCAGTATGCCAACACTTACTCTGGGAGGGAAATGATCATAAAACACTAGCCAGGAAGCTAGTGGGGGAGGGATATGTATCAGAATCGCCTGTGCAGTTTTATGAAGCCCCTACACAGGCTACTGAGATTCTGGCCCAGCTAAGCCGACTTAATCTTAATCAAATGTGGGTGGGGTGGGGAAACCTATGTAATTCTAAAATAAGATACCTCCTCCCTCTTTGAGAATCACATCTTACTTTCCCTGCATAGCTCACCAGGCTTCTCCACTTTTGAAATACCTCTTTTCCCAAAATAATATAATTGTAGAAGTTTATTTAAACACAAAATACAGTTATCATAAAACCTTAGACCACTAGGTTTTCCCTGGGGACCCAAGGACAATAGAAAAGGAGGAAAGAATATTAAAATGTAAGAAATGTTACCGTGCTAGACTTTACATATACCATCTCACTTACTTAACAAATCTGCAAGCTAGCAAACTGTCAAAATGCAAACCAAGTGACTTGCCTCAAAGGTACATGCACTACACCCCTGCAGCATTTGGGTGCGTCTTCCTCAAAGGCTCTGAGGTTCTTTAAAGTTCAGAAATGTCACATTACTACCCTGTGCAGAAATGAGCCAGCTATGATTACCTGCCCCGTTCTCACCCAGGAAGTAACTAAATAGTCCCTACAACCATATTTCCATATTACCAAGTAGGTGGTTCAAACAGTTGTGCTATGGTGAACCTTACCCTGATTAGAATACAACACAAAATGGTATGGTGAAAAAAGCTCTGCCTTTGGGGTCAAACAGACACTAGCACTCCGCCTTCTGCCATTCTTGATCATATCACCCCTGTTACATCACGTGACACTTAAGACTATATGATCATTGTTGCTCCTGCCACAAGAATTTAGTTCCATGAAAATAAGGGCTGTGCCCATTTTCTTTCATTGCTATATCCTCAACACCCTGAACATATAGGCACTGAATTAAATAATTGTTGGTGGAATGAGTCAATGAACTAGCAAGCCTCGCTTTTCTCATCTGTAAAAAGGAGATAATGGAACTACCTCTCAGGACTGTTAGGAGAACTACCAGCACTTTACGGTAAGTGACGCTGTGTTGGCTGGTAGAGGGCCGAAAAAAACGTTATCTTTTTCGCGTTTCCACCTAACAAGCTAGGAATGTATATATTCTGGGCCCGTTCGGGAAAACAGGGCCCTCCTTGCTCCAAGTGACCCCGGCGAGAGGGAGCAAAAACTTGGAGCTGTCACAGCCGGGGCCGGGGGGCGGGCGGGCAGACAGCCGTTGGTGGTCCCCAAGCCAGAGTGTCTAAGGACGAAGAAGGGAGAACAGGCCGGGCAGGAAGAAACAGGTGGCCCTCAGGCCGAGAGTCGAGGGCCAGAGAGAGGAAGGCAGGCCCAGGCCGGCGGGCAGGCAGGAGGAGGCCGCCCTCGAGGCAAGGGGGTCCAGGGAGAGGCCGGCCTCGAAAGGCAGCCCCAGACAGGCCCGGTCCTGTCCGGTACGCGGCCATGGCGCCCCAGACCGACCCGCGGCGTTGAGGGAGGGAGGAGGCACGCCCGCCCGGCTAGCTCCTCCGGTACTTACCACCTCCCAGTGCAGCTACGAGCGTTCTGAGGAGACCTTAGCGGACAGAGGCACTGCCCGACACAAGCCAAGGGCCTAAAGGCAGACTTATCGCGAGAACACAACCTTCCTCCCACGCCTCTTACCAAATGTTTGACAGTCTCGCGAGATCTCAAGTCGAGTCGGCTCAAGGTCCTTGCCTACCCTCCAGAGGGCGAGAGCGCCGGCGCACAAGTTTTCCTGGGCCGCAGATCAGGGTCCTTTCGCCGTTTAGGAGTAAATAAGGTTAAATGAAAGAAACATTTGTCGAAGGCAGGCTCTGTAACAAGGCCTATCCTAAGTGATTCTCTCACACCAGATGTCCTAACAAGGCAGATATTATTTAGGCTTAACGTACAGATGCAAAAATAAAAGAACAAACAAAAGGACAAAGTATGATTCCATATATATGAGGTACCTACAACAGCCATATTTATAGAGACAGAAAATAGAATGGTGGTTGCCGCAGACTTGGGGAAGGGAAGTTATTGTTTAATGAGTATAGAATTTCTGTTTGGGATGATGGGAAGTTCTGGATATGGGTGGTGGTGATGGTCGCACAGCAATGGGAATATACTAAATGCCACTCAATTGTACACAAAAATGGTTAAAATGATAAATTTTATGTATATCTTGCTACAATTTTTTTAAATTCAGTAAATAAATAAATAAATGTCAGAGCCGAGGTTCCAAATTACACCATCTGACTTCAAAGCATTTTCTTGTTTGCACCATATCACACACCACACAGTTTTCTGCACTCCACATTCCACCACTCTGTACCTCCCCTCACATTTTGGCATTAATTATCCATATTGGAATTTTATTTAGTTATTTGTTTATTACCAGATGTTACAATAAGAATCTTTCTTAGTTCTGACAGAGGTCCCCAATACTAGCTGCTAACTGCTCCCCAGATTTCCCATGAGTAGGATTTGCAAAGGAAAAGATTGTAATTGGGTTTTATGCATCTCACCCAAGAATAACAAGGGACAAGGCTATCTCAGCAGACAGCAACAGGAAACATAGGTTCAGATGCAGAAGCTAAAAGGGCTCTCATGGCCTGTGATTAGGAGCAGAGCTGTGGAGAAAGAGGAGCTGCAGGGAATATCAGAAAGGCCCACAAAAGCCTCATGAGGAAGTAAATCATCTTAAACACTGCCACAGGCAGACGGAGCCAAGATGGCATCATGCTGTCCCTCATTCCCTCTTCAATTCAGAGGCAGATTCTGGATTGAGACTTTTTTTGTAACTAAAAGTGACCAAGGCACTTTTTTATTATCTTAGGGTGACCCAAATCTAGGACCTGCCTAGATTGCTCAACTAGTCCACATAGTATGTTTGCACAGGTGGGGTTAGGGGGCAGAGGGGAAATAAAGCTCTTTACTGATTGCCAATGGATTGTTCAACAGAAGGCTCTTTGCTTGTTTGTGATCTGTCACGTACACACACACCCAACTCTAAGCCCCAAGAGAGCAGGGACCTGATCTCTCTGGTTCACTACTGTATCCCCAGGCCCAGAGCACTGCCAGGCACTCAGTAAGGACCTGTTGACTTAACAAATGTTCTGTAACATAGAAACAGCAAGAGATGATCAGCATTGTCACTGTTTTAAGTCCCTAAGTTTTGAGTACTGATACTTAGCCCTGCACCCAAGCCATTCCCCATCTACAAGGCAGGACTCCTGGCCTCTTAACACCCCACTGGGCTGCAAGTGGGCTTAGAGGCACTTCTTCCAAGCTATCCTGCTCTAACCTGCTCTAACCTCAGGCAAACACAGATTTATATGAGGGACACAGCAGATACTCTCTGAAGAACAGGAAGGAAGGATAAACATGAAAACCTCAAAGAAAATAAAGGATCTGATTTCATCTTTAAGACATATTTATATTTTGCATTTTTCACCAGATAGTGGGACACTGGGGCAGCAAAGCACAGATCTATCAGAAGCAAGAGAAGCAGCAGTGCCCCCCTGAGTAAGGGATGCACAATGATCTATGGGAATGGAGGGAAAATAACTTTTATTCATATTTATTTTTGTCTCCTTTAAATGTTTACATGCTTTATAATGTGTGTATTATCAATGCATACATAATTTATAAACTAAAAGTATACACATATTCAAATGTTTGCTCAAAACACTTTTGACTGATAGGTGGGGTTACACAATCATAGACTATTAGAGGCCATAGGAGAATGACGCCTGGCCTGGGAGAACCTGGGCACCCCCAACAGGCTGGGAGCTCTGGGCCCATGAGAAGCACATTATAACACCCATCCACTGACAGCACAAGTCTTTTCTGGGTCCTCCTGTTCCACCACTGCATAGGTGCAGGTCTCCTTGTTGAAGATTATCTGGCACTTGTTTGTGTCATAATCCACAGGTACAGCAGCACTGTCATTGAGACAAGAACAAGGCCTGTTAGAAGGAACAGGATGTCCTATAAAGCTCCCCAGGGCCAGCTTTGTGCTGGAAGCAGCCTGCACTCCAGGTGTCTGGGGTGCCCCTCACCTATTTAAGGTCACCCCTTGTCTGGGAACCCCAAAATGCCACCTTCAGGAATCGGTACCCATATATATATAGAACCTAGACTATGAACACAGACCATCCCTGACATTGTTGCTAAATTCCATCCCACGCACACAGTACCACAGCAACTTCCAACAGGCCCAGAGGCAGGTCTGGACTCCTCTGAGGCCAGGCAGCTTGCTTCAGCCTGGCTCTTCTTGTCCTCCCTGCTCAAGAAGTAGCCAGCAACACTGCTGCTTGAATGTGGGAAGGGAATGGTTGTCCCAAGCCTGGCATAGAGGCTTGTTAAGCCAGGAGCTGGCTCAGCCAACAGAAACAACGAGTCACTCCAGGCAGGGACCTTGGAGCCCTAGGAAAAGCTGATGAAAACTGGAAACAATCTCCCCGGGGAAAATCCACCCACACATTCAAGGGTGCCAACAATTTTAGGGCTCATTGCCCCCTTGAAACCCAACTGTAAACCCCAGATTTAAATTGCCCGTCCCCAAGGTGTACACAGAACAGCCATCCCCAGGGCCATTTGTGACAATGTTTCCTTCTACAAGGTGACTCTTGACTTATTTTAACAAAAGAGGACATTTCAGTTCTCTTCCCAAAGGGTAATCTGGAAACCAAAGGGAAGACTGGAAGAAGCTTTTCCCAAGGCACCTGGGGTAGGTGGCCTGGGTAGTGGAGAGGCCAGAGCAGCCTGGGCCACCAACCTCAGCCTCAACTGCCACTAGGCAGCTTCAGATCTGGACAACGGCCCCTACGGCAGGGGTCCCCAACCCCCTGGCCAAGGACCAGTACTGGTCCGCGGCCTGTTAAGAACCGGGCCACACAGCAGGAGGTGAGCAGTGGGCGAGGGAGCTAAGCTTCATCTGCGGTTCCCCATCGCTCGCATTACCGCCTGGACCATCCCCCACCACCCCGCCCCCACCATGGAAAAATTGTCTTCCACAAAACTGGCCCCTGGTGCTAAAAATGTTGGGGACCACTGCCTTAGAGAGTGCAATGGGTTAAAAAATTCTCCCAGAGAAATTTTAATCAAAACGTGTATTTTGGGATTCCCTGGTGGCGCAGTGGTTGAGAGTCCGCCTGCCGATGCAGGAGACACGGGTTCGTGCCCCGGTCCGGGAAGATCCCAAATGCCGTGGAGTGGCTGGGCCCGTGAGCCATGGCCGCTGAGCCTGCGCGTCCGGAGCCTGTGCTCCGCAACGGGAGAGGCCACAACAGTGGGAGGCCCGCATACCGCAAAAAACAAAAACAAACAAACAAAAAAAACGGGTATTTTGCTATCACAAAAAAAAAGTTCATGAGAGAAATTTCATAGGTGGCGAGATAATTATAGGGGAAAGGAGTTGGCGTGTCTGAGCCGGAGAGAAAATATGCCCCTTTCCTCCACGTGGAGCGCTGTGCTAAGTGGGATAGGCAACGTGGCAGGAAAGAGGGAAGGGGCTCTGTGGGCCCTGACTCGGAGTCAGTTACTGTCCCAGGCTTGAGGGACACATAACTGACATAGAGAAGGCATCAAATCTGTTTTAAGTTAATGAATTTATATGCAGAATCTCATTTAACTAATTAATTTATTTTTTTGGTCGCACTCGCGAATTGCGGGATCTTAGTTCCCCGACCAGAGATTGAACCCAGACACTCAGCAGCGAAAGCGCCGAGTCCTAACCACTGGACCGCCAGGAGCCCCCTCATTTAATTCTCATATCCACCTGATGATTCCTATTTTACAGTGAGGAAACTGAGGATCAGAGAGATTAAGAAACTTATACAGGGCACACAGCTGGTATACAAAGGAATGGAGATTCAGACTCAGTTACTTTGGCTCCAGCATCGAGCCTCTTCCCACTTCACTGTTTTCCACACTAGGTCCACGGGACTCCTAGAAGAGGGTCATATTAACATGGCTGTGATGATGCCATCACAGTGGGGTGGGAGGGTATCAAATTCAGTTGACAAGGGTGCTTTGGCCACTCTGGAGGTGCACTCTGATGTCAGAGAGGAAGAGCTCACTAGGCCTTAACCTTGCTGATACAATCGCACTCCAGAGTCAAACTGACACTCGATACAAAGACAATATCAAACTTCAGGAGCACAAAATCAAGGTTCAGTTGTAAGACGCAGTGACCCAGCCAAGGCAATACCTGCAAACCTGCTTCGGGCAGCCAGACATGCAGTGTCTGGATCTGATATTCCTCTTGTTCCATTTAGCACTTAGCATAGGGCATGCTCAACAAATGTATTCAGAACTTTCCAGATACTTAAACTTCAGTAGCATTCAGATGTTCTAAGTCAAGTGCTTGTTCTTCTACTTCCTGCTGGTATCGTAAGACTCTCTGAGGCACTTGTTAAAATTCAAATTGCATGGCCTCCTATAAATTCTGATTCGGTAGGTTTGGGGGTGGGCCCCAGGAATCTGTATATCATCAAGCCTCTCAGAGGAGTCTGTGATCAGGCAAGTTTGGGAAACACTACTTTATGCCAATGCTTCTATCATCAAAGCCACTCCTGTTCTTGCAAAACACTATAGGGCCAAGGCTGATGTGAAGACATCAGATGGATGGGTGGGGGTGGGGAGTGGAGGTGGAGTGGCTGATTTGGATGTAACTACTGAGGAAACAGGGCTATGCTGCAGATATTCTGTTTTATTGGCCCAAGTACCAGAACTTTGGAGTCCACAGTAACCCAGCAGAAAACATCTGTGCGACCTCTGGGCTGATGTGAGTTAAACTTGAGCAGTGAAGCAACTTCGGGTTTAGAGTACAAGGTTCACTACAGATCATCCTTTACTCCCCACATCCATTCCCTCTGCCTGTGTTCAGAGCCACTCCTGTTCCTGCCAATTGCCACAGGCCAAGCAAGACTGCAGTGAAAACCAGCTCACTTCTAGAATAGCTTCAGACTACTGGGTACACTATCCTGTCTTCAGAAACCCATATGGATTTAGGTATTTAATAATAAAGGTTGTTTATCAAGATTCAAAAACAACTTAAAAGAAATAAGACTGAGGTAGAAGCAACCATTAACAGATGCATGGATAAACAAAATGTGAGATATATAATATATATAATTTAATATATTTAATATAATTCTTTTTTACTTTTTAAGGCTGAATAATGTTCACGGTATATATAGTGAACATTATTCAGCCCTAAAAAGGAAGGAAATTCTAAGACATGCTACAACATGGGTGATTCTAGAGGACGTTACACTGATATAAGCCAGTGTAGGGGTTCAGGACAAGCCTCCCCCAAATGTGCCACTTTTGCATGAGGATTATTCTGAGCTAAAGGCAATAGACGCCTTGCAGGTTCAAGAGAAACTACTGTCCCACTAACTACCTAGGTAGTATTAAATTGAGAATTCTTCCCAGAGAAGAGTTATTACCAGAGATAAATTTTATTTAAGTGACCCCGTTTATATGTCATGGTAAACATCTAATTACCAAACATATACTCTTATTCTTGTCATCCTGTAAATGACTCTCCTGTCCTTGGAAGCCCCAAGCCCGTATCCCATTCTTTAGCCCATTCTTTAGGATGGCATATATACCTCATTTTACCTGCCTTTAGGTTTCTATCTCTAAACCTCTCGTGTATGTGGGTTTCCCGTATATATGAAATTAAATTTGACTTTTTTCCTGTTAATCTGTCTTATGTCAATTGAATTCTTAACCAGAAGAACCTAGAATGGTGGAGGAAAGTTTTCTTCCTTCCCAATACCAGTCATAAAAGGACAAATACTGTACAATTCCACTTAGGGTTGTCGAATTCATAGAAACAGAGAGTAGATGGTGGTTGCCAGGAGCTGGGGGGAGGAGGAGATGGGGTGTTATTGTTTAATGCATATGGAGTATCAGTTGGGAAGATAAAAAATTTCTGGAGATGGATGGTGGAGATGGTTGCACAAAATTGTGAATGTACTTAATGCCACTGAACATAACTTTTAAAATGGTTAGGGACTTCCCTGGCGGTCCAGTGGTTAAGACCCTGCACTCTCAATGCAGGGGGCACAGGTTCAATCCTTGATCAGGAAACTAAGATCCCACATGCCACACGGTGAAGCCAAAAAACCCAAACAAACAAACAAAAACCAAAAAAATGGATAAATTCTAAATTTTATGTTATGTATATTTTACCACAGTTAAAAAAGAGAAAAAAGAAAGGAAAAGAAATAGGACTGAAAACTAAACCCCCTTCGGGATGTGATTTTGAAAGAGGGAGTAGCTGTTTCTCCGACAGCACAGCAGCTGCCTCCGCCTCTCAGCCCTGTTGGCTTGAGACTTACATGTTGCAACAGTTAATTCCACCTTGGTCACAAGTACACTCCTCACAGTTCTCAGTCTTCCACTTTGAGTTCAGCGGGTGTATGACTCCATCGAGATCCTTGCATTCTAAAATAATACATGTGGTATCATCAGTACGGTCCCAAAGTCATGCAACCAGAACAAGGCTTGTAGGACATGGGGGCCAGCCCATGCCCTCTGCACACCACCCAGAGAGGGAGAATCTCAGTGACTTTAAAGGCATATAAGAAATGTGCTCGGGTGTTCACTTGTGGCTAAATTCCAGTACTATTCAACTTGTGCCACTGATCATGTTTTCTTACAGCAAGATTAAATCTATCCAGAATTTGTTTCAGAACAGACATTTCAAGAAAATATAAGCCCCTCTCTCTTTAATCAGAGAGCTATTATGAGCCTAGGGGTACTTAGGGTGAATTTTTTTCTGCTCTATTTTGTCTGGATAAATGCCTCATTTCTCCTCTTCCCTTTGCTTTGCTTTTCAATCTCCAATGCACATGTGAAACATCTTGGGCATAAAAAAAAAAAAAAATCTATGCCTGGGTCCCAACCTAGAACCATGAAATCAGAATCTCTGGGCATGGGGTCCAGGCTGCCATATTTTTTAGAAAGCTCCCCCAACACATTCAAATGTTCAACCAAGAATGAGAACCACTGCTCTAGATCCATGGTGGTCCATGTGTGCTTGAGGGATGAGCAACTTCAGCACCACCTGAGGCTGTGAGACAAGAAGACTCTCAGTCCACTCCATGCCCACAGAATCAGAATCTGTACTTTAATAAGATTCCCAGAGGGTTTGCATGCACATTTAGAGTTTGAGAAGTACTAGAATAATCAATGACTCTTAACCCTAACTGCATGTAGGAGTCAATCAAGAAGCTTCTATATGTGTAGCTCCTATCCCAGTGATTCTGATTTACCTGATCTTGAATGGAAACCATCTGAGCATTAGTAAGCTTCAAAAGCTCGCCAGGCAATTCTCATATAGCTAAGATTGAGAACCACTATCCTATTCAAATGGCAAGTTGAAGTCCCTCATTTTACTCCATTTATGTATCTGCCCTAACCTTCTATCTCATGTAGATTTAAGGGCATTCATCTGCCAACAGGTTATACCTACCAGGATGCAGTCAAATAACATTGAAAAGCCAGGACTTACTATTAGGTGTAGAGTTCTGATTAGATATGATATAGCACTGAGCACTGCATACAGTCACGAAGGTGGCTAAAACCACGAGGCTACCCAGAAGAGGATTCTGTAATGCAAAGAAGGGTCAGGGAAGAAGAACGAATGAATTCAGTTGTAATCACTGACTGCGTATCCTGTATGGAGGTCCCTGCTAGGCTCTGACAAGTGGTTTGAAGGTAGAGCTTCTACCTTCAGATAATCTAGCAGAGGAACAAGATCTATACAAGTTACTAAAATAAACTGGGGAAAAAGCAAAATGTGAGTGAAAAGTCATAGAGCAATAATGTTAGTGTTCTATTTTATTACAGAGGAGGTTCAGGAAACCCTTGTGGATAAGAGATTTTTAGCTGTTTGCAGAGCCTGTATAATTTAAAGGACAAATGAGGGAGTGAGAAGAGTTTCGGGAAGATAATAAAACATTGACAAAAATACGGAGACAAAGAAAACCCAATTGGAGACTTGCTGGAGCTAATTGGGTTAGTTAGAGTTCTTAGACCACAAGGGTAAGAACTTCATTTTCCAGATGATAAAGGCATCATTGATGGCTGATGAACATATCAGCTCATCTATGCTGATACTGGATCTGTAGGACAAAGGAAAGTATCAAGCTGCTCTTGCCATCATTTTGAGATGAGCAAGCAAAACATACAAACTTTGTGTGTGTGTGTGTGTGTGTGGTATGCGGGCCTCTCACTGTTGTGGCCTCTCCCCTTGCGGAGCACAGGCTCCAGACGCGCAGGCTCAGTGGCCATGGCTCACGGGCCCAGCCGCTCCGCGGCATATGGGATCTTCCCGGACCGGGGCACGAACCCGTGTCCCCTGCATCGGCAGGCAGACTCTCAACCACTGCGCCACCAGGGAAGCCCACAAACAAACTTTATGGTGGGGGTTTCCAAGAACCTTTTAAAAAGGAAGATGTGGTGAGACAGTCTTTGGGACGGTGTAATAAGCGGGTCTCATCTGCTCATTTGCAGCTGTTTCCTTCAAATGGGATGCGGTGTTACAGCACAGTGGTTGCCCGGCAGGTACCACCTGGCTTTGGATTCCAGCTCAGCCCACAACTAGCCATGTGAATATGTAACCATTCTAAGCCTCAGTTACCTGCTCTGTAAAGTGGAGATAAAAAGAGTCCTGTGGGAGATCTAGAGAACAAACTAGCAGTTACCAATGGGGAGAGGGAATGGGGGAGGGGCAATACAGGGGTAGGGGAGTAAGAGGTACAAACTATTAGGTATAAAATAAGCTACAAGGTTATATTATACAACACGAGGAATATAGCCAATATTTTATAATAACTATACATGGAGTATAGCGTTTAAAATTGTGAACCACTATACTCTATACCTGTAACATATAATATTGTACAGCAACTATACTTTAATTTAAAAAGATAGTCCTGTTGGGAGGATGGAGCGATGCATGTCATATGCATGATGAATGAGACATGTGCTACACACACACTCTCCTAGACCCAGATTTTGACACCCCCCCCCCGGCACTGCAAAACACATACACAATTTTGTGGTGAGTAAGCAAATAGCAGGATAAACTTTTGGGAGGAAGTCATGGAATTCATAAAAACGTGTTCCAAGCAATGATTAACTAATGTGGCAATATGAAGACAATTTGGAAAATGGTTACAAAGAAAAGTAATATGATACTGTGATTTTTAAAAAATATTGAACCGAAAAAAAAAAGATGTGGTGAGAGTACTTATTCTGTAAGATGTCTAAAATTAATTATGAGCTGATGCTACTTAAAGTAGTGTGTTACTGATATAAGAATAGAAAGACAAATAAAGGGAACAAAATATAGAAAACCCAGAAAAAATATATATTTATAAATATATATATAAATTTACTATAAAATAAACTTAGTCTTTGAAATCTGTAGAGAATGATTATTCAATAAATGGTATTAGAACAAGCGGTGAACTATTTGAGGAAGAAACGAAGTTAATTTTCTACTTTAGTTCCCACAATAAAATACATTCTAAAAGGATTCAAAGGTTACATTTTTACAATAAGATCATAAACTAATTACAGAAATATAGCCAAATATCTTATTCTAAGCATAAAAGGAAAAGAAAAGAAATAGATTTGAATATGTAAAAGTTGTAAGTCATAAACAAAATTAAAAATCAATTACCAAGTTTGGAGAACAACATCAATGTATGAAGAGTTTCTATATATCAACAGGAAAAAGAGAAGCATCCTTAATTGAAAAATGACAAAGGAAATAAAGTGGCATTTCACACACACATGCACAGACCCTAATAGAAATGATGAATAAATACATGAGAAAGTTCAACTGACAGATAACACAGGAAATGTAACCATGTAGATAAAATAGAATCATAATGGGATGGCAAGAATAATTATTTAATTTCTAATACCCAGAGGGAAATAGAGGCATCTATGGGAAGTAAAATGCACAAGAATGGGGACTTCCCTGGTGGCACAGTGGTTAAGAATCCTTCTGCCAATGCAGGGGACAGGGGTTTGATCTCTGCTCCAGGAAGATTCCATATGCCGAGAAGCAACTAAGCCCATGTGCCACAACTACTGAGCCCGTGTGCTGCAACTACTGAAGCCTGTGCACCTGGAGCCCGTGCTCCACAGCAAGAGAAGCCACCGCAATGAGAAGCCGGCACACCGCAACAAAGAGTAGCCCCCGCTCGTCACAACTAGAGAAAGCCTGAGTGCAGCAATGAAGACCCAACGCAGCCCCCCAAAATAAAAATAAAATAAATTAAAAAAATTTTAAAAAATTGCACAAGGAGGGGCTTCCCTGGTGGCGCAGTGGTTGAGAGTCCCCCTGCCGATGCAGGGGACACGGGTTTGTGCCCTGGTCCGGGAGGATCCCACATGCCGCGGAGCGGCTGGGCGCGTGAGCCATGGCCGCTGAGCCTGCGCGTCCGGAGCCTGTGCTCTGCAACGGGAGAGGCCACAACACTGAGAGGCCCGCTTACCGCAAAAAAAAAAAAAAAAAAAAATTGCACAAGGATGGTTTGTATTGGAACAATTTTTATGGAGTGTATATCCAAAATCTTAAAACTACACTATTTGCCTTCATCACGTCTAAGTCTTCTCACTTCTAAGACTTGATCCTAAGAAGAATGGCACAGAGATCATTGTCTCCTCACGGATGCTCACTGCTGTGGGAAAATGGAAATAATCAAAATGCTCAGGAACAGGGCTGGTTGAGAACCTGATGATTCAGAAAAGAAACTGGTCAACTGAGGAAGTAAGAGAAAATTAAATGACATGAGCAAGTGATCACCAAGTTTCATTAAGTGAAATAACAGGTTACAAAACAGTTTGCTTGGTGTGATTCCTATAATGTAAAAAGATACATAGAGATACTGAAGGTTCTGTACCACATTTTAACAAGTCATTTTGGAGCTGAAGGATTATGACAACTTTCCTTCTTTGGACTTTTTCTCTTATCTTCTAAATTGTCTACAATGAAATGCATTGATTTTATAAACAGAAATAAATCAATTCTTACAAGAAACCCTCCATGCATTTAGCTCACACCAGGACTTGAAGGTGCACCTGCTCTCTCTGTTTTATTCTTTTGCATAAACTTCAGCTTAAGGTCATTGTGGAAACCTGAATTTTTTCTCAAAAAAAAAAAAAAAGAAAAAGAAAAAGAAAAAAGGCCAGGCTTCTTGACGAAATTTCTGCTCTCTTCATCCAAAAAGGGAGCTCCTGGGAGATGGTGGTGATCATGGGAATCTTGAAGGTCTTGTTTCACCAAGTCACAGAACAGAGGTATCGGTAGGCATGAGCCAGGGCTGCAGTCCAGGGTGAGTGAGGACTGCAGAATTCCCAGATCTCCCACAGCTCTGAGCAGAGGCCCCCAATTGAATGACTGGGGGATGGAGTCCAAACATGGTGACAGGGGAGAACCAATTATTCAGTTTTGAGATTAACCAATTGACATTATCTCAAAAATAGCCTGCCACTGGCATGCTTTTCCTCCCCCTCCTTTCTCTCTCCCTCTCTCCCTCCGTTCCCTCCCCTGTAAGAGAGGTTCCTCCACTTGGGTGGGCATCAGAATCACCTGGGTTGCTAATAAGGAACCCCCAGTCTCAGGCTCATTGAAGAAGGATGGGGTCATGGCCTTTGAATCTTTACCAAGTCCCCCAGGCGGGAAGCACAAGAAAAATGATCAAAACCAGTGCTGCTTCTATGTGCATATGAGACTCTGGGAGATCTTACTAAATAAAATGCAGATTCTGCTTCAGTGGAGTTTAAGTCCTCATTCTAGCAAGCTCCCAGGTGATGCCACTGTTCCTGGTCTGAAGACCACCCCTGACCAGAGAAGCTCTGAACTTCCTTCCTGATCCCATATTCTATTCTTCCACCTTCCCTCCCTCCTCCTTCTGCTTCCTTTCCTGTCTTCAGTAAACATAATCCCCTGGTACATGCAGGCACAGGAGACAGTGCAGCTATAAGGCCGGCAAATGTTATATTTTCTAGATGGTGCTGCTTTGTGCCTGGCCTTGAGATGAAGCAGGCTGGTGGTGGCCCTAGAAATTGTGTCCTTTTAGGTAAGTCGCTGCTCCTTGAAGAGACTTGCCCTGTAGGATCAAGAGTCAGGTGTCTTCAAGGGGGTCTTAGTCTGGGCAGGGGCACTGCCGGGGCTGTAGCTTACAAAGTTCACTCTGAGGCTGGAGGAGGGGGTCTGAGTGGAACCAGGAGGATCCCACTGTTTTTCTACTATTCCCAGCTCTGTCTCAAGACCAGTCTCTGAGGCGTGGCCTGAGGGAGGATCCTCTCCAACCTCACTTTCTACTCCTGCTGGTTGGCCACTTCCTTCCTCTTCCTTTGTACACCAGGAACAGCCCAGTTCATTCCGTTTTACTCTAGGAAAGGATACTTCGAAAAAGATCAAGTTTGAATTAAAGACAGAGAGGAGACCTACATGAGTTTTTATAGATTTTGATGCAAAATTTTTTCTTTCTTTCTTTCTTTTTTTTTTTTTTTTTT